CAGGCCTGACCATCGCGCAACCCAGGCGTTGATGGCTGACGTGCGGAGGCGAGCGGGGACGACCTCAGCAAACAGTCATACTACTTGCAGAATAACGCGTGGGTTGCAAGTTTTGTCGCCAAACTTGCAATAACCTTGCAATTTTGTTATTGGCGATACATATGTTCTTGTTTCTGTTTCAATTAATTATTGGCTTATTGCATGGTTCATGTTGTTCTGCCTTCCTCCTCAAACCACACAGCATGCAGTCTTGAGGTACTATGCATGGAACAGCTAACCGGTGTACCAATTCCAAAGAGACAGAAAACCAACCCCGCCGTAACCGTTAAACGCCAGCTGTTTCTTCAGCAGTGATTTCCACTTTTTTCATTGAGAAGAGAAATCAACAACAATAACATGTGAATGCACAAAACCCATTGAATAGCGACATAAGCCATGGAATGACGCATGCATAACTAGAGCATTACGAAAACTTCGCTGTGTGCATATTCGTGAAATATTTCGCCGATGGAATATAGCTGTTGGGTTAGAGATCTCAAGGGAATTAAGCATATAGTAGTGGAATATTGCTTAAATTGTGTGCGAACATCATCACATGTTCGATGAGTATAGAATGAATAACTATACAAGTAATATGATATTTTCATGTTATAGGCAGAGAAACTCGGCACAGAACATCAATGGGGCACCAAGATAATATTCAGATGAGCTTCAACTAGTGTACGAACCCATACAAGTGCTGCACGGCCTGAATACGACATAAATACTATACGTTGCACAAAACCCATTCTATATTGGAGCTTCAATGAGCGCCATGCCTGCGAACATGCAGCCTTCACTACTCAAAGACCAAGCGAGTATTCTACCAACTAGAGGTTTAGTGCTCAATAATCAAGCGTGATTGGAGTAGTAGTTATAATGTATTTGAACAAGTGTTATGTGCAGAAGATACACGACAGTCACATCGCGAAAACACACGGGTCAAGTATAGGTTACTTTTGATTGATTATTGACTAAATGTGCAGATGAGCTATTTCAGCATTTTGGTGTCGAATACAATTCAACAGTGACAAGCTGCGAAAGTGTGGAGAGGCCCCAATGTTTTGGGGATGTGGGGGCCCAAGACATTGGGACCTTTCAAGCTTTTGCGACTATGGGAGTGCGAAAGTGTTGAGAGGTCCCAATGTTTTGGATGCATAGAAGCCGAAACATTGGAACCCCTCATGGGTTTGAGCACTCGCGGTTTTGGGACTGTGTGGGAGAGACCTGATCAGGAAACACAGGAAAAGGGTAGGTACGAGGTATGTGGGGGGGGGGGGGGGCACCATATTTATATATAGAATCGAAGTTTTTTCTGGGTTCAATCGCAATAAACTTGTAAGTTAATTTCAAGTTTGTTGCCAAACTTGCAAAAAGTTTGCAATGAGCCTCGCAAGTTTGTTGCTAAACTCGCAACAAGCTTGCAAGGCGCATTGCAAGTTCTTTGCAAGTTTGGCAACAAACTTGCAAGGCTAATCTCTTGAATCAATAAAATCTACAGGGAAAAGTTAAAACAAAGTACCAAACGTTTACTACAGTTCAATAAAATTTATCGGAAAATCATAAAAAGGATTCGCAAACTTTTTGAAATCAATGAAACCTGATTGAAAAACTTTGAGAATTAATGCCGAGCTATACCAAAACCCTCAGGCGCTCTTACAGCCATCACCGAAAGCCCTTAGGCGCCAATACGACCACCAACACCACCACCACCGCCACCACCACCGCAACCACCACCACCGCCACCACCACCACCACCACCACCACCACCAGCAGTACCACCAACAGTTCCGCAACAAATCGGTACGGCAGCAGCCGATTTGTTGCGGCATTGTTGGGGGTTCTGCGGTATTGTTTGGTGTACTTCAGGAGCCGATCTGTTACGACATTGTTTGGGGCAAATGCCGATCTGTCGATGCCCGCATCCGCACGTCCTTCAACGTTCCATCTCCAAACTGGCAATGCAACATGGCAGTGGACTTTAGCATTCACCCACCTTGAATGCATGCGCACTTCCATGCCGACGCCTTGCAGCCATCAGCTCCTCAAGGTTTGTAGAATTGTACATCTGTTTCACCATGCATCTGCCATGGCTGGTTCTGCTGCCCTGCGTCGTCAGTGCGCACATACGCGGTGTAACTTCCAACACCAAGTTCCTGGACATTCAGTTTTTGACGGAAGAAGATGTCGATCAAACGATGGTGCTGAAGGCCGGCTTTGCTAGGATGTCACAGGGTCAATGTGACCTACAGTTTCTTTCATTCTTTTCTATGGCACTGCAACGGGTTGCTTGCTTCGTTCCATGCGCGACAGGTGGACAGCAAGAGGCTAGCAAACATCCGGTCGGGACTGGAGATCACGTACACATCCCTTCCCAAAACGGATGGCCACTTGGCACAGCAAACACTGCGCTACGTCTTGGCCTCGGGTGTCCTTGCATCCAGACGAGTTCTTCTAAGTGCTTTCCAGTTCAGAGGTCTTGCACCGCTACTTCTTGAACCAGCACGGCTGGTTAATCAAGGCCAATCCGCGCATGCATTCGTGCAGCCGGCAGGGCTTGTTCCGCACTGGTACCTGCACAGGGCCTTGAGCCGCAGAACACGTCGTGGACACATCAAACCCAGCGGATCCAAAAGGAGCATGTTAATTAAAAAAGACACCCGTCCTTTGTGAAACGGGTCAGGCAACATGTATGACTGAATTGTATTGTATGCCTGTATGATTTGCGAGGACTGGTCGAGCTGGCTCCCGTCCTACCTCCAAAAGCACTTCGAGGAGACTGTGACTGTTTTGGCATGTCGAACTGTTTAAAAAGAACATACGGTGTAAGGCGCAGATGCAGCGAGGCACCGAACTGTCGGCTCTTGCAGCTCCTTGGTTCAGTCTTCGCTTGCATTGGTTGGCTTTCTTTGGTGCAGCTTCAAGCGTCAAGGAGATGGTGGCCATCATAGAGGATTTGGTGCACAAGGAGGTGAACTTTCGATGGCACCAAGAAGCAATTGCTGGACCTCCTCGCTTGCTCTGCCAGGCGGAGCGCCAACTGCAGGAAATCTACGAAGCGATGGGAAAGAGCGCAGAAACCGTGCTTGATCGATCGGCCGCCCTCGAGGCAGGGATACTGCAACATGGGATGCTCCCGTGGATTTGCCATGACCTCCAAGAGTTATCCAGAATCCAGAACAGGTGATCGACATGTACGCCTTGTGCTGCACTTACAACAGTCAGCGCTCAACGTCAACCTTTGCAACTCTTTCCTTGGTGTTGTTTGCTGTGGACAGGGTGTTTCTCGTTGCGCGGAACATCTCTGTGGCAGACCCGGTGAAGAATCGCAAGAGGCGGTAAAAAGCCGGAACTTGTTGGCTGCAGAGTTGGAGACGAAGTGCACCAGGCTGTTGGGATTTCGGAAGAAGTACCACGGTTTTGAGGATATGCACAGGCGAGGCACAGACATTTGTGCATTGACGATGCCTTGTTGAGCCGACCAGCGCAGGTGGTTGGAGGCGGCCGGAATTGCTTTGCGATCGTTTGCGGGAGTTCTGTCTCCTTCACTGGCATTCGCACCTGTTGGCTCTGTAAGGGCTTGGTGGAGGAGCACTTGACGAACAGTGATAGCGATTCTGGTGTGGACTTCGGACGCCTGAAAGAGGCACGGCGTGGGCCAGCTAGATATTCTGTCGTGATTCATGTCCACCGCCGGTTCCCGGAGCCCAGACGCCCAGCTTGGCCGTCAACTTCGTAGTGACAGATGGAGAGACCTTTGAACCAAGATGTCTGGCAGGTGGAGGCTAACTAGACCTACGTGTCCCTGCGTCAATCTAGGGAAGGGAAGGGAAGAGGCATTTGCATTGCCCGACCGGGTATGTCTCTCCTGAGCTTAGTCAGAGTCAGGTTGTCGACAAAACTGTGCCAGGTTGGCAGGAAAGGTTCTGCTAAGCCCTGGCCGCTTTGCCTCCTCATGGGCTTATTGACTCCAGACCTCAACTGTTCTCAGACACCTCGCCCCGATTGCTCAAGCTGTGAGAGTCGAAGTGTTGTTAAATGCAAGCTCCACCATCTAACGCGTGTCTTACGGAGGTGGTTTGGGAGGTTGGCGACCGATACCCGGAGTTCAACGACCAGGAACGGGCGCAGTTGAACTATACTGGCATGCCATCCTTCTGTTGCCCACTTATGCCTGGCATGATCGCGGGCAATCTGCTCTGCACAAGGAATGTCAGCAACTCAAGCGAACTTTGATGGACATGGAGGGGGGAAGCCGCAAACCTGGGCGGATTCCGCTTGCAGACTTCTACAACAAGCCGTGTGCCTACACAACTTTGCGCTGACCAGTGCCGGTGCGGGCAGAGTACAGCTTCAAATAAAAGCAGACACGAGCATGCGAGGTCCAACCACAACCATTGGAGGCCAAAGCCTTTGGATTTCACCTCCGGCATCCTCCGGGTTCGATTTCTGCCTAACCTACTGTAACAAGAGAGATAATTATCATTTAATTCAATTTAATTATCTAAGGTTCACTGAGAGCCCGGCCCGGTCCTCAGATGGAAAGGCCCCAGCTTGCACAACGCGACGTGCCCTCGCTTGGCCCTGAGGAGTACCTGCGAGACCTTGCCCCGTGGCTGAGACAGCCTTCGATTCGTCACGTGCGAAGCACATGCAAGGGAAACGACGGCATGCATATATGTATACCTATATACACACGCAGATGGCAGTTAGTCGTAGAGAGACAGGGATCTTGGCAGTTTAATGTAACGATGATGCAGCTCCATATATGGTCAGGCTTCTGGCCTTCCACCCCCCCCCCCCCCCCCCCCC